GAACTGGAGGTACAGACTGTTGTGAGCCTCCATGTGGGTGCTGGGAATTGAACTCAGGTCCTTTAGAAAAGCAGCCAGTGATTTTAATCATTGAGCCATCACTCTAGCTCCTAAATAGCTTTTTAAACTTTACACTGCAATAATTCAGAATCCTTTGTTCAAATGGAAGGGGAAGAGAGGTACATTTCAAGATGTAGTTTTTGGAATCTATACATTGGAAAACAAGCAATTACTCAGTTCACAGATCAATGAATTGTGGAAACATGAAGCAAGTCTGGAAGATCTGAGAACTGGTCCTCCCATTCCACTTCTTTCTCAATGAGCCTTGGCAGCCTGCACTCAGAGCTAGTAGCAAACATCCCTGGGCTCTAGCATCTGTCTAGTTCTCTAGCAGGGAGGGAGGGAGGGCTGCACATAGCTAAGAGCAGAGGTGCTGCTGGTTCAAGAGCAGACATGAGCACAGCCAGACTGGCTTCCTTGCCAGCTGATGGTCACGACTCAGCACAGATCTCCAAAGTACCCAGTGGCTGGGCCTTTTGACTAGATGCATGCAAAAGTTTCTATAGGAGGTGTGTGTGTGTGGAGGGGTGCCACCTCTGCTGACTCCTGTCGTAGCATGGTGGTGTCCCTGTGGGTGTTCCCACTCTGCTGGGGAGGACCCTGCTTCCTCTCCCCTTCTAAAGCCAGGGACAGGAAGGATTCCCATTCGCCATCCCAGAAAGCCTGTCTTCTCTGTCTTCTCACCCCTGCCTTAGGAGAAGAATTTCTCTGGGGGTCTGGGAAGGGAATGGACATGCCCCACCCTCCCTTCCAGGCCGATAGCTCCTTCTTGCTAGTGCTTTTGAACAGCTCTGCCACTGTCTACTTATCCGGTGAGAAGTAACTTAGTCCTTTAAACTCTGAAGCAATGTTTTAGCAACCATTTAGCCTCAGGACTTACATACCATTTTCCTTTGACTCTTTCTTTTTATTTTTTTATCTTTGTTTTCAAGACAGGATTTCTCCATGTAGCTCTGGCTGTCCTGGAACTCGCTCTGTAGACCAGGCTGGCCTCAAACTCACAGAGATCCGCCTGCTTCCTGAGTGCTGGGATTAAAGGTGTGCTACCACCACCCAGTTCTTTATTTCTTTTGAGTCAGCATCCCATGTAGCTCAGGCTGGACTTGAACTCCTGCTCTTCTCACCTCTGTCCCCTCTCAAGTGCTGGGATTACAGGGGTGCAACATCTTGCCTAGCTTTAGTCTCTATTTAAAAGATTTGCATTTTAGGGGCTGGCAAGATGGTTCAGTGTATAAATGTGTTGCTGCCTAGCCTGATGACTTGTTTGATCTCCGGGACTCACATGGTGGAAGGAGAGAACTGATTTCTGCAAGTGGTCTGCTGACCTACCCACCTACACACACGTTCTCTCTTTTTCTATTCATTATAGGCCCATCTCTATCATTATGTCCTATAAGGGTGGAGGCTGGTTGCTTTCATGTACATAGAGACATAGTCCCAGCCTTGAAGAGGACAGTGGATAAGAAACTATCTCTTCTCCTTGACAGTAGCCATTCTTGCCACTGAGCTCCTCTCTTGCCAGCTGCTGCACCCCTGCTGAGGGTTTGCACAGGGCATCCTGCTGTCACCCTGCAGGATGTGTCCACGGGGCTGTCCTGCCCAGGCACCAGTGCTGGTGTTGTAAGACCATTTTAACAGTTCTGGTTTTCACAGGCCAGCTAAGTGAACTTTTTGCTTGTTCTATTTTTGTTTCACCTTATTTATTTTTGAGATCGAGTGTCATATGTATCCCAGACTGGCTTCAAACTTGTGCTGTTCCCGCCTCAGCTTCCCAAGGCCCAAGATTATAGACATGTATTATCAATCCTAGCTCAGCTAAGAGGACTTGAAAAAAATCCACAGGACTGTGAGCCCAGGGTGAGGATATTTAGGAGGTTAGCAGGTACGATTTGGCTGGGTTTGAGTCTGGAGTGCCCACACTGGGGATGTGGCCTGGGCAGGTTCTTTCAGGTATTTGATCAGATATTTCAGCTCTTGATCCACAAAACAAGGCCAATGGTCCCTTCCTTCATGTAAGATATTGTGAGGTCTGTTCCTCTGCCCCTAAGAAGTGCATTGACATTCTCTAACATTACAGACATTTAGAAAAACAAGCTTGTCTAGGATGTTCAATCTGTGATTTTACAGATACCATCAATGAGGCTACAGTCTGGATGCACACCAGGTTCAAACTGTTTAGACAACAACACCAAGTAAAGAAAATACAAAAGAACATAGCAAACATTTGAAAACTGGAAGAAAGCACCTTAAACTCAGGCTGGCCAGAGGAACTGTGCTCTTGTGACCAATGGTCCATCAAAGAAGGCACTAAGGAAGGAACGAAGGACAACCTACCAAGGGCCAAAGCTGGAAAGAGTTAAAAAAGGGGCAGGTCTGTGGTTTCTCTGCCTCCCACCCCCACCCCAGCTAATCTGTCACCTAATGAAGAAGGGGCCGGCACAAGTGAGCTAGCTGGCAGTTCACTTACAGCAAACTGATTAAGAATGTTCAACCAACAGCAGACTGTAGACCTTTCCAGAGAAAATAAATAGAGTGTAGACTGTATGCAAATGTGTTTGTCACTTTGACAGCACGTCTCAATTAAGGCATCTCGCGGCTGTGGGTAGGCTCTGTGGCTGCAGCTGGAAGGGAGAGCCTGCTGCATGGCTGATACTAGGGGCTTGACCTTAATCCGCATGCATGCATTAAAAAAAAAATCCTGCCTTCCTGTATACTTGCATAATGCTGGCAGCCACGTGAGGGAAGTGACAAACGGGGAAAGCCACTTTCATCCTCTCCAGTTTGCAGACCTGTGAAGGCACAGACAGCTCTTATTTCAACAGTTTGGGGTGGCTTTTTTAATTGTTTATCCCCCTCCCGTGTGAGCACACACACTCTTATTCTGCATTTAGCTGAGAATGATATTAAAGCCTCTCTCTATTTCTTGCTGAAATGGGAAGAAGGCCTCTCTATTTCAAATAGGGCCTCTTTTTTTTGTGTGTTTTGAAAATGGAATGTTTAACACCATGAAATCCCTCTCCCCGCCCCCTCTTTCTCTGTAATGGGCTTCCAACTCCAGCGAGGGCTCCTTTCATGGGCAGGTTCGCATGTGCAGGAATGAGGACAAAGGAAAGCAGGAAGCTGACTCTGGAATGCCAGGCTGTGACAACCAGGGCTGTGCTTTCAGCAAACATGGCTAGGAACTGGGGTGAGGATTGCTCCAACAGGGCCTGAGCCCCAGAGGAGGCAGGTCTTCAGGGTACAGACAGCAGAGAATACAAGGAGTTAGTACTTCTGCTTTACAGTACATGCCAGTTTCCAGAATAGCCCTTCTAAGTGTAAAATTAGAAAAGCGGCAGATTTCCCCAATTAATGAGGTATGGACATACTATCCGAAAAGATGATTAGAATAGAATGATTTTCATGTTCCAGCCAGCCAGTGCTTTATAATGACCCACAGCAACAGTCTTGCTACTTCTCTTTTTCCTTTTACAAATAGAAGTCTATTTGTTTACTTTTTGTATGTGTCTGCTTACACATGTGGGGTATGTGCATGCAATGGCCCACATGTGGAGGTCAGAAGACAAACTGGGAGAAGAGTTGGTTTTCTCCTACCATGCAGTGGCTGGGGACTGACTCAAACTGTCAGGTTTGGCTGCAGGTGTCTTTACCTGCTGAGCCATCTTGAGGGTCTGGTTCTCTTTATTTTTAAATAGCTCTGGGCTGGGCGGTGGTGGCGCACGCCTTTAATCCAAGCACTCGGGAGGCAGAGGCAGGCGGATCTCTGTGAGTTAGAGACCAGCCTGGACTACCAAGTGAGTCCCAGGAAAGGTGGAAAGCTACACAGAGAAACCCTGTCTGAACCCCCCCCCCCCCAAAAAAAAAAAAAAAAAAAGCTCAATGCCTGATACATAGTAAGCACTTGATAAACGTCCCTCAAAACAAGAAAAGTTTTAAACGTAGGACTCTGGGCTCTTTCTGAGGTGGAATAGCAATTCTAGTTCCAGTAAATAAAACTCACACAGATTAGCTTTATCATACCTCATCTAGGCAATGGCTAAAGGATCAGGTGATTTAAGCTCAGTAGTACAAAAGCACTGGCTGAGCAAGTACTCAGTCCTTAGTTAGAGCCCCGGCACCAGAAAATCAACCAACCAACCAAACAACAACAATAAATCTTGCGAACTCTTGTTACAACCATACCTTGCTGACTGAGGCACGTTCCAGATACCAAATCAAACCAAAAGCATCAAACTAAACCACACACAGTACACATAACATGTTTATATTTGATCATTAGAGTGGTTGTTTGAAGAGAGGTAGGGAAGGGTACGTTATATTTTTAGTTGAAAATACAACCACAGGTAGGAAATGGATGAAAATTTCAATTTCTGTAAAGAGTGTATCACTTAAAAGGAAAGAAATAAAATCAAATGAATAGACAATTTTTTAAGCGCTCAGATCCTTGCAAGCTGTTGGGTACAGAGTTGGATCTCTAGACCCATAGCAAGGGTGTTTACTCTGGGAAGCTCAACTCCCAATATTGATTTTCAGGAAGTACATTAATAAAGAACCCCTAATTGATTTTTTTTTAAGCCTTTGCTTGTTGCCTTTTACTTAAAGGTGCAAAGAAGGGCCTGGGATGCCAAAGTGTTCTAATGAGATGCTTAGCTAACAGGCACCTTAAATGCAGTGTCTTGGAGTGGGGGAGGCAGCGGGCACAGTTAATGACTCCATTTAACAGTGGAGCTAGTGATGATCAATGCCATGCTGCCCCCACGTAGAGTTTTGAAAATTCACCTTCAAAACATGTTTGTGTCAAACACTTGGTGATGTGAAGAGCATGGAGTTGTTTTGCTGAAGGAGAGCTGGGGTGCGAACCCATGGCTGCTCATACTTCAGCTTCTGAAAAACCCAAACCAAAACCTCAAAACAGTCCTGTAGAAGTGCACAGCACATACCTGCCCAAAGTGGACTGTGATTGGTCTCCGGTCTTCTCGAAGTCTGGGGTCCTTGACCTCTGCCAGTGGGGATGGCACGGTCTTTGGCAGTGGCTCTTCTGCAGAGGAGGCACAGCCATTCTCAGCGATGTCCTGCAGGGAGAAGGAAGGTCTGGGGTTGGCACTGGGGTCCCAGCCCTTTGTCCTGTCACCTCATCCCCACAAGCCAGGAGGCCTGCTAAGAACTCTCTCCAGGCTTTCTAAGGCTGATTCCAGGGAGAGGTGGAGGAAATAGAAGCTAACTTGGCCTTCTGACATTGATGCACCAAAAAAAAAAAAAAAAAAAAAAAAAACCAAAACCATCTACACAAAACTATAAACATAATAATTCAGTGGTGAAAAAAACCTATTTCATTCTACATTCTTCTATGACTATTTTCATTTTCACATGTTCACTTTGTCTATATGTAGACATTTAAAAATTACTTGTAATCACAGCCCATGCATAATTTTATATCCAGTTTTTTCTCCAATATAAGTATCACCATGGTGCTACCTAGTCATTATAATAATTTCAATAGACACATAATATTTTCATTGAGCAGACATCTAATAACTCATCCCACAACTATTAGGTGTTTGTTTTTTATTTTTCCTTTCTAAATGCTAGCAATAAATTTTTCTTTCCTTTTGTATTATTGCTTCTGTGGAAATCCCCAGGAATGAAGGCATGAAGTCAAACATATAAACACTTTTTAAGGCTTTTTATTCATTCTACCAAATTGCTTTCCAATTTACACCAACTCCCCATTATGGGTGTGCTATCGGTTCCACAGTACTTGTTAGCCATATCATTTAAAAATGTATTGCTAATTTAATAGGTGAAAAATTAGACCTCATTGTTGTTTCAATTTGCATTACTTTGATTATTTGTGACTGTCTGCTACTAATGGTGCTACCGATCACATTCATGACTTCTCCCTTCTCCTCGTGTTTCTGGAAGGACCTATGGGTCTCTCTGACCTGCAGAGTAGCTACAGGATGAAGGAAAGCTTTAAAAACCTAAACATTTACATTTTATTTGTGTATCTGGGAAATGAAGTCAAATGGTTAGGTAAGAAAACTCCCCATGTGCAAAGGGTCAGCCATGACTTCTTTGACTGTGGCAGTCAGGGAGCACTGGTGTGAGCTAGTCAAAACATGGATGTGTCTCTTTCTGCAATAAGCATTATGTGTTTTATTGAGGACAAGAAAGTTAGTTAGGACAAGTCAGAGAATAAAGGTACAAATAAATAATTTAAATAAATTTTTTTCACCATATAAAAATAACTCACAGCCTGAATTAAACAACATCCAATTCTTTCAATTGTAGAAAAAATTGTACATTTTGGTCAGCAGATTATTCCTCAAATTCTGCATGTAAGAGATCATTGGCCAGTCTTTCTCAACTGAACCGAGAGAATCATGAGACAGAAGGAAAGTGGTTACTTAGGATAATTATGTTTTTAAGGAAGAAACAAAGGAAAACTTCTGAACCTCAGTTTCCCTATCTGTAAATGGGTATATGGGAGCCAGGGATGAAAGGAGATAGGTAATATAACATAAATGCCTAGAACTTTATTAGCTACCCAATAAACTATTGGAATGAAACAGATAGCTTCTATACATGTGTGTATACAGGTGTGTGAGTGCATGTATAGTGTTATACATCAACTACCAACCTCCTGGCTTCCTTTCCTAAGGAATTAGCTGCTATTCAGTCAGTCCAGAAGAGTCTCTGCTTGGCCAGAAATACAGGAAGGTGATGACCTTTTGGCCTTACAAACAGGGCTTGGGTCATGTGGCCCGCATTGGATTGGCCAGTCCCAGCTAAGCTAAGGCTCAGTGATGAAAGGGACTACCGACAGAAGTCCAATTAGAAATGGGTTGTTTGGAAAGGGGCTGCCCTAAGGTGCCTGGGTCAAATGGAACAAAGTAAGGATGGGGGGGGGTGTCTTTCCATGTCAGAGAGCAACAAAAGGGCAAAAGGGGCATTTCGGTTATGTGTGGGTGCATCCAGAGGATTAACACAGGGCGAGTGAGGCCAAGCTGTAACAAATTCATTTTTGGTCCAGGAAAATACTCCCATACCATGTGTGCGTCTCTCTCTCTGTCTCTCTCTGTCTCTTTCTGTCTCTCTCTCTGTGTGTGTGTGTGTGTGTGTGTGTGTGTGTGTGTGTGTGTGTGTATGCACTGAAAAAAAATGGAGCTACAAGGTAACACGGTAGGAAAATATATTAACCAGGAAACTATAAAATACTTATTTTTAAAAGAAAACATGACAGTTTTGGGGAAAGTGTCTTAGTTGAAGCTTTAAGTAAAGACTGATGTCTTCTAGCTGTATCTGCTCCATCAACCAGCTTCCCCAATCTCTCAGATTCAACCTCTGCAATGGTTTCTGCTTTGACAACAGGGAGATTCCCAGTTGTTCAGCACAGGGCTCTGGAGAATGGTTAAATGAGATGAGCTATGAGGAGGCTTTGGGACATCACAATGCAAAGGACAAAATGCTTCCCTGTGTGGGGCTACCTTTCCAGACTATTGGCTTCCATTCTCACACTTCATTCTCACGATGATTATGAAATAAACAGGATGGGATTCATACAGGGGAACCTATTCAAGATCACAGAGCTACAAAGAGGAGGAACTTAAAATACGGACTTCTGACATTTAAATCTTATCTATTTATAACAATAGCTCAAGTGAAGGTATCTTGGACCTGAGGAGGCATATGTGATGCTGGGCCATCAAAAATGACTTCCTCTTCCTCCTTGGCAGTCCTTCTGGCTAAAATGATCACAGGCTGCCATGTCCTATGCCATCTACTGTGCCACTCTCCAGACTGTGAGTTCCTTGGGATCTGAGTTTTCTTGAGTCTAGCACAGCTCTCCCATAAGTCTCTGTTAAGTTGAGCTAGCATTTGGAAGGTAAATGTGCCTTCATGTCTCAAAGTCACGTTTTGCTTAGTTAGAACATCCAGAGATGCCCGAGTTCCTGTACTTTCTCATGGCTCCCCATTGAGCTTTTAGCGTCTTCACTATTTCTTCCATGTGGGGAAGGACAGGGAACAGAGGGGAGGGAGGAGCAGGGGTCGAGAGAGCAATGAGAACAGTGCACATTCTCTTTTCCATCTAACAGCGGACATATTGCATGAGGAGGAGTCAACAGAGCAACTCTGCACTGCTTGATTGAAGAAACTGTGGCCCAAGAACTAACTGACATCAGCTAAGGGACTGGGATATGGGTACCCTGACACCTTCCTGAGAGGAAGACAAGTTGGAAGTTTACAAAAAAATACTTTGAGATATGAGTGCCCTGTGGACCACTAATTCCATTTCTAGAAATGTTTTCAAATGAAGAAACCTAGAAGAAACTCAGGTATCCAATAACAGCATTGATTAAGGTAAGTGTGTGTGTGTGTACAATGTGTATGCATGTGTGTAGTATGTGTGTATATGTGCATATGTGTGTGTATGTGTAGTATGTGTGTATATATGCCCATCCAATAAAATGTATGAACTACTTAAAATGGAGGAATCATTTTTAGAAGGCAGGGACATGTTCAGTGCACATCACAAGAAAATGCAGTTGGAAGGGACGTTGTTTCTCTCCTGACCTGCTGAATTCCCAAAAAATATGCATTTTGTTGGTTGGCAAATGGAAAACAAAAAGTTGACCTTTGGGGTTGGGGATTTAGCTCAGTGGTAGAGCCCTTGCCTAGCAAGCGCAAGGCCCTGGGTTTGGTCCTCAGCTCTGGAAAAAAACAAAACAAAACAAACAAACAAAAAAAACTGACCTTCTAAATGTCATTTTTAAAAAGGGAAACAAGGGGATACAAGAGGGGTGGGCCAACTCCTTCCTGCAGGGTCCCACAGGAGGACGAGAGAGCTACAACCCAAGGGGCTACCACAGGGAAGCAAATGCTGTCCAGGAGCCTCAAGGCTAAGAGCAGGGGGTGTTCCACCAAGCCCCATCGCCAGGCAGAGCCAAGGAGGCAGAGGAGAACTCTATTTCTGTCTCCTTCCCAGAGCTCCAGGAAAAAAGAATCCTGACAGCTACCCTCTACCTCGCTGTGGAGAAGACAGGCATAGCACATGATGGATGAGCATACCGCTATGGATGAGCATCCGTGAATAGGCAGGGGCATGAAGCCAGGGCCTGGTGAGCAGGGGAACAAAGTGCTATTAAGGCCTCCGAAGGAGCTGGGTCAGGCTTCCTGAGGCAGAGGAGCAAGGCCAGGCCAGGCATTCACACCTGGAGTTGGAAGTAGGGCCCAGCACTCGCAGAATGGCTAGAGCACCCCTCTCTTTGCTGGGCAGGCTGAGGCTGGCAAGGACAGGGTGGCCTCAACCAAGAGAATATAGCTGTGTCAGAGCCATGCTCTGGAAAGATTCCTCTTGTGGCTGTGTGAGCAATTTAAAGGGAGGTGGTCCCATGGCAGCCATTTCTCAGTGTGTGTACACATCGCTGTTTGGGCAGACTGTCTGTTCTAGGAATGAACAAAGAAATGGAGAGGACACACTCTCATTTATGGAGCTGCTACTAAGTTCTCCTGTTACCACATCACCTCTTCTAAGATAGTTAATGGGTGAGGAAAACAGAGAGGGCTGGTAATTCCCACCCTAGACAACCATACTGAATCTTCTGGTTGGCCTCAGAAGCCCAAATGCCATATCCCCATGAGAGGGCATGGGGGTGGGGTGGGGTGTGTATGGCCAAGGCCAGAGCCTTCTCCTTTCCTCTTTGAGATTTGTGTTGTACTTGTCTTTTCCAGCCTACTTCCCACAACAGCAAATGTAAATTAAAATATGAATACTTGTATCAAACTAGTAGCCAAAATTGGAGTTGCAGTGATTGAGGTTGCAGCATATTTTAAAGTGTCTAAAGACAGGGAGCTGACAGTTGTGTGATAAGGTGTGAAAATGTCTGTTCTGTAAGAGTCTACCTGTTCTCCCCACCCCCACAGGCTTGCTCATGCCCTTCACTGCACTTGCAAGTGTTTGGCTAGAAACTCAAACCAACTGTGGGTGTGCTCTTTTAAGTCACAGAGATACTAAGCAAGCTCAATTTGTCACTTAAAGAACAGAGAAACTTTCCAAATGTGTATGAAATGGGCCCATTTGGCTAAAGTATTCTGATACTAAAGAAAAAAAAAAATTCAGGGATTCCTTAAGGGCACATAATGACATCCTTCTGTGTGTGTCTTAGCGCGCTCCCTACAGGTAAAGAGGTGTGCAGCCGCTGGATTTAAGGTGGCACTCTCTGGACAGTCTGGACCAGGGAAGCAGAATGCAACTTGTTGATGTCCTTCCACAGTAAGGTCTGGTGAGGACATACGCCCAGGGAAGTGCCACTGTCCCCTTAGGAAGCCATGCCATTTCTCCTTCCTATCTCTGAGCAGGCTGGACTTCAAAGGAGGCCAGGTACTGCAGAACTTGGCCACTTTGTTCCATTTATCCAGAGAAATATGTTCTCCATCTTTCTTTTTTGTGCCTGAGCTGAAGCAGAGCAGATGTGGAATAAAGCCACACTATAGGATCTACGAACAATCACTTGCCAGTGGTCACAGATATCCTGAAAGCTATTTCAGAGGCTTTGAAAAATCTATAGCACAAATGAACAAGGGATGGGAAAGGGGCCCTGCTCAGTTGCATTAGAGATGGACCCTCCACACACCGTGGTGACCTCTCCTCAGGTCGGCCTCACATTCTCTATTTGCAATTCAAACCCAAGGCAAGAGCAGAGAGGGCAAGCTTGGGTTCTTGATTATATGTGTGAGGTCACCATTGCTATGCAGAGTTAGAGGGCCAGGTGGCAACCCAGCACATTGGAAAATTGGGTCTTTGCTGGCAACTGGTTCAATTTCATAGCAGAAACCAAACTTGTGATATCTGTGTCAGGTGCATCAAGGGAGTCATAGAGACAGGTTCCATGTAGCATGGAGGGGTGGGTGGAAGGGGGAGAAAAAAGCCAAGGAAATATTTTCCACTACAGTGAGATAGGTCAGGGGAAGCCAAATCCTAAATTAGCTCAAGAAAAAGAGCTAGAGATCACCAGAGACCAGGGGCCTATATATACTGAACAATGCTGGGGTTTCAATTACAAAACAGCTCTTCCAAGAACAACTGCAAAATATCAAGTCTGTGGAAACCTGTAAGAGCGAAGGGGGAAAAGTGAAAATTGAAAAGGGTGCACTAATAGATCTGTCAACAGCCCAATGGTGACAAGCCACATTTCTATAAAATGCCTTTACCATTTGTGTCACCTGAGATGCACTGACACTGTCTATAGAACATTATCTCCTGAAGCTATTCTTGAAAAGACTGGTGTGGGCTGGGGAGAGACAAGGAGAGGGAAAAAACCGGCTTTAGATTCTACAAAGGAAGGGAAAGGTGGAGTGTGTGGAAGGAACATGATCTAGATTGTGTAAATGAGCCTTTGGGCAAACACATGAAAAAAGCTGGGCTTTGCTGGCTGCTGCAGAAAGACGTGAGTAGTGGGAAAAGGCTCGAAGGGGAGTCCCTGGTTCCATGGTCAGCAGAAGCAATGAGACCCATGAAGCCATGTCTGGCACCTGAGGAGGGACCGTCTTTGCTTATTTCAGGCAGTATACTAACCAACCACAGCCTACAATCTAGACACTGGGGAGGGAAAAGCTCCCTCCTGGACACATCCAATGCAGGCCCACAAGACTGGGACAGGAGATGAAAAGGTATGATTAGTGACTCAAATAACATCTAGCTAAAGAATCCCACCTGCCAGTGTCTGCCAGGGTGAACAGACTGCCCATGGGGGCTGCGCGGATTTGTGTTATAGGGTTTGTATCACAGGATGAGAACGTCAGCTGTTAAGAATTCACTGTCAGCCGAAGCTAGGAATTTTAAATGCTTACTCAGAGCAAATTATTTTCCAATTAAAAAAAAAGAATCAATTCTTTCAACCCATTTCAAATTAATAAGGATTTTTCTGACTTTATAAAGTTGAAACCACTTTCAATTAAAAACAAAACAAAACAACAAATTGCCAAGACAGTGGCACATTTAGGGATGTGGGGAAAATGACCCCAGACATCTTTTGTAAAGAAAACACTTGTTTGGGAAAGCAGTGAGCAGCAGGGAATGGAAGTGTTCTGACAGTGGAGGTCAACAGATCTGAAATCTAATCCTGTTTCTGCTAGGCTCACACATTGTGGCCTTGGCAATTACTTCACTCACAGCTTTGTTCTATGGATTTGGGGTGACAGCTCCTAGTCTGGCCCACCTTTAACAAAGAGTGGCAATCACAGTATTGGAGGCCATGTTGTGACTGTGTTAAAAACGCCCCCTGCTCTGATCACCTTGCTGTACTCCCCATGGACTCAGGTTGGGGAAATCCCAGCCACAGTGACTTCATATAATTTTTCTGATGAACCACAGAGCCTCTGTTTGCCTGCATGGGCCTTAAACAGAGGCTAGGCTGCTCTCACTCAGTGCCGTGTGGTGGGAGACCCACGACATTCTCTTCCTATTCACTCTTTGTGTTTGCGTAGGAACCATGTGTGTGCCAGAACCAGAGGGGTCCTTTCTCTGGACATGCATTTTGCTTTAAGTTATGACCAGTCCTAGGGCAGAAGGGGGTGGTGGGGAGGACACCTGCAAACCCCAGGCCTGGTAGAGCAGGGCAGAGGACAGTAGTAACTCTGAACTGGGCTGCCTTTGTGGGTTTAAGCCCACAAAGAGTCTTAATGTTATTTGAAGACAGTTTTTTGTCTGTGAATATTTATAACAGTGTGAAACTCCCGGACAGCTGGTAATGCATTTTGAAGTGTGCTAACAACACTGTATCAAACAGCCCTCTATTGATCACATCCTACTTTTTTGTGGCCACGCATTTCATACATGGTGCTTATACATTTTGAATAAGAACTTCAAGTACCTTTTGCTTCAAGCGGTTTTTCACCTCTTTTATTCCCATTTTTGCATGATCTTTTGCCTGCATGAAAAATTAATTTAAGTTAAGATTCCCTTTCTGTTTCCAGCAGAGTCTATGCTTGATTTCAGTCCACCATGAATCACCTTCTCTGATTACTAGAAAAAGGAAGGAAAAATGGGATCATCAAGTTGAAAATACAATGGCTGTGAAAACAAATACAAAGGTAAAAGGTTAAAAAAAAAAAAAAACCTTAAAGGGGCTGCAGAGATTCCATTTTTGCATTTTGATGGCAGAGACTTTTTTCTTCTTTTCCTTCCCAGGCTTTTCTTCTGCTCTCTATAATTATTTACCTTGGCAGCGTGGTGACAGCTACCAGTAAAAGAACAGCAGCTCTACCAGCCACAGGACTCAGAACACCCATGACACCTCACCAGGGCAGGGCCTCAGGATCAATCTCCTCTCCAGGTTGAAGGGTTGAAACTCGACAGCAACTGCCAGCTTTTTATAGTGCCATTTCCTAAATTTCATTTTGGTGGACACTCTGGCTTCTACTTTCTGCCAGTTCTAATGTGTGTGTCTTTGCTGGTAGCCACCTGTCCTTTATAGTAGCCACTCCAAGCAGAGGAAACACTAACACAATTCAAAATGACAATAAAACAAAGCCACCCTGCATGTGGCTCAGGGTCAAATGATCAAGGAGGAAAAAGCACAAGAACAAGCACTCGAGGCTTGTGAGGGATGGGGTGCCAGGGCTGATGGGTCTGCTCTCACTCTGTGTGGATTTGAGTCTCACATGCACTTCCTATAGGGCCGAGCCAAGAGAGAGGATGACGAATTCGGGACAGAACTGGAGGGGGGGTTTCCCACCATGCACACAGTCATGGTTATAAACAGAGGTCCTCCCAACCCTCTGGTCTCCCTACTCCCTGTACATAACTATACTTGTAACCTGGCATGGAGAGGTTAGAAATGAGGGGGTGGTCTTCCCACCATGCACACAGTCATGATCATAAAACAGCAAAAAGCCAAGCAATTCTCAGAACATTGAGACTGCTAAGAAATGGCATTGCCACCCTTTGGTCACTTCTGCGATCTAGGCATTGATACACTTAAAAGTCATGTTGTGTTGGGCGTAGTGGTACATGTCTCTAATCCCAACACTTGGGAGGCAGAGACAGGAAGATCTCTGAGTCTGAGGCCAGTCTGGTCTACAGAGTGAGTTCCAGGACAGTCAGGGCTATACAGAAAAACCCTGTCTTGAAAAAAACGAACAAACCAAAACCAACCAAACAAAAAAGAGTCAGACTGAATGAAAGAACCCATCCATGGCTTCCAGACTGCCACCAGTACTTACAAACTTGTAGACAGTCTTCATGGCTGGGTTAGCTTTTGTTTTTACAGTATTCAGAATTGCTCCACTTCCTTTCTGTAATAAAAACGTCAATCAGTGATGTGGGCTGGAAGGAGAGTGGGCCAGCACCAACAAAGAGTGTTTCTCTTTAATTGAGCCAAGCAACATTTCCAGAGTGTGTGAGAAGAGAAGTAGGCCCAGGTGGTCACTGGTTGGGGTTAGTTAGGGCTATGGCAGACACACGTGTGTGTGTGTGTGTGTGTGTGTGTGTGTGTGTGTGTGTGCGCGCGCGCGCGCGCGCGCATGTATGAGAACTGGAGAAGCAGCATGTGATAACTAGTCAAGGGAAGACAGTAGGATCTATGTTCTGCTCAGTACCTGCCCCTGTCCAGGCTATCTGAGGCAAGGGTTTCCTTATGGTTGCCAGTAGCTCTTTAAAGGATTTCTAGTTACCATAGATAGTGTTCAGTCATATACCATAACTGAATTATGTAGCTAACTTCAAGCTAGGGAAGAAAACAGGGTTCTGATCAACCAGGATCCCTGGCAATATGATTCATCTCTTTCCTTGGGGAGTATGGGAGGAATTTATGGATTTCTACTGCTTAGGAGGCAGCTAAGTAAACTCAAGTGCACAGTCCATTTCTAACTGCACCCTGGGCAGCATGTTGTAAGACTGTAAGGGCCCTGAGCCCAGGGAGGTCTATTTGAAGACCATCAGGCTTTGTGTATGGGTGAGAGACATACCAGGGTTCAAATGACATCTGGATGGTGGCAATGCACTGGAAGTTTGGAGACCAGAAGACTGGGGAGGTCTTCGGAGCAGAAAACATTTGACCTGGGCCATGGAGGATGAGTGGAGGTTGATGTGGAACATAGTAGAAATGAGTATTTGTGGGGGTAGCAAAAGGAGTACAGAGCTGAGAGCTATGGGTGTACTCTGGGAGGGCAAGGGGTTCTTGACTCGTGGTGGAAATGGGGCTGGGGGGCCAGATGGGGTGGCTTGCACAGAGCCTGGAATGCTGAGCACAGGGTTTATGCTCTGGAGGACTTTTAGTCAAATGTGTCACATAGTAGATGATAGTAATTATTGACTTTAACTTTTAGGACAACTTTTGGTAACTGCTTGCCTTAAAGATTTTGAGTTTTAGTGAAAAACATTACAGTTTGACCTATAAATCATTCTGTGTTGTAGGACAATAGAAAATTTTCACCCACTCATCTATTCCATGCTGCCTTCCAAAATTACTCAGAACTTTGTTTAAAGGGTCCTTTGGAGTACTGAAACTCCCTTTATCAATCAATCAACAGGTCCTTATTGCTTGCCTCTGATGTGCCAAGTGCTGTGTTTGGCCATCCAGGAACAAAGGCTGTCTTTCATGGGAGAGCTGCTTACTCTGGCCAACTGCAGCCACTTCCACGGGCCCTGCCTTGGCAGCAGCTGCGGTTGGCCCTGGAGCAGGAGAGAACACTTATCACATTATGCTGGAGTTGCCTGTTTACGTGCCTGCCTCCCTAACAAGGTGGGGAGCTCCCTCCGGGCAGTACCTGCCCCGATCTGGATTCCCAGAGGCTAGCTATCCCCAGCACACAGTAGGCCTTGAGTACATACTCAATTAGAAAATCATGGAAAAGTCAGGTAAAATTTGACTTCTTTAGAGGCCACAGGAGCTCCAAGCACCTTTCCCAATTCAACAAGACATTGTTCACAATAGCAGTAAGGGGGTGAAGAAAAGTCTCCCAGGGATGCTTCTCCATTTTCCCAGGAGCCCTTGCTGTGAAAGACACTGCAGGGAGGGCACATCTTTGGCTTCCCTGTGATCATGACAACTGCCTGGCCATGGAAGGAAATGTTCTAGAACAATAATACTTCACTCCGTGGGCCTTGGCTGGCCTGAACAGGAGGGCAACCTGTCCTGCCTTCTTTTTCTCCCATTAAGGGAGACTGTCTCCTTCTAGTCTCTTCCATAGGATGGTGGTCTGGCATTAAGACAAAAGTATCTTCAGTTGAGAGAATGGCATACCCTGCATCCTGAGGCAGCTTTGAAGGCGGCCAAGGAGCAGAGGGCTACCAGGGGCCACAGAGGACAGCAGGTGGCTTAGAATGGGACATACTTACCCGGACTGTGGACAGCCACTGATGGTACAGCTTATCACTGCCTATAGGAAGAGGAGTGAGAGAGGCCATCACTTACAGACGTCTTCACATTGCTCCACACAGACTGAAAGCTCACAATCCAGGAAAGGCAAGGAGGCCTCTGTGTCCCACTCTGCAGCATGTGGCAGTGAGTCAGACCACAGGTTTTCATTCTCAGGGAGTTCTGTGTACCGGTGTCCACAGAGCAAAGCTCCTGCCTCTCTCTCTTCCATTGGCACAGCCTTGCACTCTGACCGAGAGGAACTACTATCCCCTGCCATTTGTGCCAGAGTGAACTGAAAGGCAGCTAAAGTGTCACATCCTCTGGAGCTCCTTTCTCTTCTCTCCTCCATCTATCCATCTATCCATCTATTTTGAGAAAGAGTGTCATGTAGTTGGCCTCCAGCTTTCTATGTCACCTGAGATGACCTTGAACTTCTGATCCTCCTGGCATAATGCAAGGTTGTGTGGCATTGAGGCTTGAACCCAGGACACTATGCATGCTAGGTAAGCACTCTGTCTTACTTAGCCTTCTCCCTCCCTTTGAACAGCCCTCTAGCTCAGGTCACATCCATATTCTTTGATGCACCATGAGTCACCAGAGCTGACTATCACAGTGTAGGAACCCTGCTGGACATTTGCCTGGTGACATGTTTTGTGGGTGAGTCCTGTTCAGTGCATCTTGAGGGCCAAGGAGGTCTCAGCAGGAGACTTTTCAGCAATATACAGAGTCCATCTTCTCCCAGAACCCCTTTCCCACAGTGCTCCTTCTGTAAGCTCGTGAATAGTGCAGTGAGAGTCAACAGAGTGCTATTCCAACCACACATAACTCAGTCTCTCTCTCCTGCACTGGCTTAATTTGTGTTTGTCTTAGTCGTGCGTCTCTTTCCCTGAGGACCAAAGCTCACATTGTTTACTCAGCTTGGGGTATGGTATTCAGGGACTGCTTGTCGACAATCTGCCATGACTGTCCAGAGACTTGGTAGAGAGACTTGCTTTAACAATTGTGGTGTAGGCTGGGTGGGTATGTAGTATCAGCAAGTAGATATGAAGTTGCCTCTGTGAGCTTGTGCATGCTGCCCAGGTCATCAGCACAACCCAGAATGGACAGGCTCAGGAGTAACATGGTATCATTATTTTGACTCCAAAGACAGAAACTACATGTACTGTCATCTCTGCCATCAAAGACTGAACCAGTGGTGTATGGGAAGAAGCCAGATTGGGACTCAGGAAGTGCTCATTACTGACACCTCTCAGTACCCCAGATGCTTCCGAGAGAGAGAGAGAGAGAGAGAGAGAGAGAGAGAGAGAGAGAGAGAGAATGAATGATCCCTCTGAGACTGGCCACCAAGCAACAATGCTCACATTTTATTCATTTGTCTGAGAAAGGATCTCACTGTATTGCCCAGGCTGGTCCCAACTCCTGGGCTCAAGTGATCCCCTCTCAGCCTCCCAATGCCTGGGACTACATATCATTGTACATGGCTTGATGGTGTTCACATTACACAGAAACATGTGTTGAGCACTGACCCTACAGTAAGGACTGTTTTGGGGTACTATGCAACATTCCGAATGGCTCACTTCCTTCTGTGAGGTCGTCTGTGGCACTGCCAGCGCAAACACTGGCTGCAAAAGGGACATGAGTTGGCCTAGGCACCACAGCTAGCAATGAGGCAGGGGCCTCATTTGAGTTCAGCTCCCTACTTCAGAATCTGGAAAGTGTCCCTTGTATCATGCTGGCCATGACACTCTGCCAGACTTTTCTACCCAGGGGAAGTAAGTACTCTGGGTGGGGTCAGAGGCTTCACATGGGCCAAACTACATGCACCCTGTCACAAAACAATGAGGAATTTCCCAACTTCCTCTTCTACAAGGTTGAAGGCAGTCTCCCCCTTCCCTCTCACAAAAAGAAAAAAAGCCCATCTGTGTCAGGAACGCCATGGGCAGCATCTTACCGGCATACTCGCCCATGTTGATCTCCTCCTCAAAGACATCGCTGAAACCTTCGCCGGAATTGAGAAGGTCTAGTCGGCCATCAATAAACTGGAAAGAAAAAAAGCAAGCATACCATAGCTTGTCTGTAAACAAGGGAGTCATCCAATTGGGCAAAGCTGTTCAAGATGGGAAAGACCCTTTGAAAACCACAAGTCTCTTGAAAATGCTGGTTGTGTGTTTCTAACTCAGAAAACTGCAAGCCAAGGACCCGTCTGGCACCTAAAGCCTGTTTTACCCCTCCCCCCCCCCCCCCCCCCCCCCCCCCCCCCCCCCCCCCCCCCCCCCCCCCCCCAAGCGCCGAGTCCTTTCCAGGCCCATCTCCTCCCTTCTCTCATTCTTAGTGCCCAAGGTGGAGAAAGGTGCAGAAATGCCTACTAGAGGCCTGGCACAGGCTCTGAGAGAGGCTGGGCACCTGTTTGAAGAGCTGCAACTGTGTGGCATTCTGAAGGAACTGCCTCATGGCTCCAGAGCGGTAGTGGGACACGAAGGCTTCCTCACTGAAGGTGATGGGTTCTTCCTGGGAAACGGAGAAGGAACATGATGGTAGAGACAGGCCCCTCCCTTCGGCAGGTTTCCACTGCCTATGCCTTTACACTGACTAAAGAAGCCATGATTATCACCAGTCATTCTAGATGATGGCTGAGGACGCTGTTTCAGGGAGGAAGAATCATACTCCAAGTCAGAGAGGACAGGAGGCAGGGCTGACAGGCACGATCAGCTGTGCAGCTCTACTCACCCCCTTCCCTATTACTGATGATCACAACCTGTACCAAGCTAGTGCTGTGCCTGCCAGTGTGATGATTTCCAAACTTTTCCTTCAATGTTTAGGGTGGAACCCTTAAGTCAGTCAGCACCTTGTGTTGAAGGGACCCTGAAAGGCAGAGCTGAACCTTTCAGAGCTGGGTAGGGTTGGCACTGGGCATGGAGGTGCTTGGTGGCCTTTTCTCAGGTACCAACTGCAGAAAATAGTTTTAAATTCATTTACAAATGATTATTATTTTTGTTGTTCTTGTTTTTTGTTTTCTGAGACAGAGTTTCTCTGTGTAGCCTTGGCTGTCCTGGAACTCACTCTGTAGACCAGGCTGGCCTTGAACTCTTGAGACCCACCTGCCTCTGCCTCCTAGTGCTGGGACTAAAGGTGTGCACCACTGCTGCCTGGCTGGTTTTTGTTGTTGTCTCTCTTTTTTTTTTTTCCCCAGACAGGGTCTTGCTATGCAGTTCAGGCTGGTCTTCAACTTGTGAGCCTCCTACCTCAACTTTCTAAATGTTGGGATTACAGGTGTGTACCGCCATGCCTAGCTCACACTAACTTGATCTATAGCAAGTTATGATTTACATAATATTGGCTGATCAAAAATAAAACTTGCCACCTGCAAAAAATTTGTGTTTAAGCTATTTGATGAATAAGTTTTTGTCCACAAACTACATTTTGAGTCAAGAAAATGATGCCCCAAGTTTTAAAACAAACAAACCACCCGGCCTTGTACAGTCAACACCTCACTCTCTTTGAACTCATTTTCAGCACTTGTCTGTGCAGACATGTCTTTAATTTTGGTTTGCATTCCTGGTTCTGAAAGATCGCACTTTTACATCTCAAGCTGTGATAGGGCACTCCCTCCTTTCATGGACTTGGTGGCAACCACAAAGATGTTTGAAGCTCTGCTTTTATCCGTTTTAATGAGTTACGTGTTAAATTTACTGTCTGGCTCCTGTAAGTTCCAAGAATTCCTTTTGCTTCAGTCTAGCCAATATTAACTCAGATACTGGGGCAGCCTCAGCTGCAAGGATGGCCCGGAAATGTGAGAATGGGGAAATACATTTTTCTGTAGTTAAACCCTCCCTTATTTCGCAAAGGATTTGAGGCACTCTGTGCAAGCACCTGAGACAACAAATAAGAAAAATGATTGCTGAGAGGCACACATAGTGAAATGATTAAGAAACAGTTCTGGATGTGCTGCTTCTCAGTTTCTGAACTTAAGTCACAGAATTATTCTGGAGCTTCCTGGTGGCTGAGGCAGGGCAGGAACCGCAAACTGTGTGGCACACGAGAGGAATAAGCCACTGACCGAAACCAAGTTCAGGTAGAACTCCATCCTCTGCAAGTCTTTCTCCTCGCTGTTGGGGCCACATTTGCTCTAGGATTTTACACACACTAACAACTTCTGACACATACCACCAGCCCAGAACCTCACTAGCCCTCTAACGCCTGTCCATCCACATCATGCACGCATGCTCACGGCCTGCTCTCAGTTATGGACCCACATCTCCATTCAAATCAGTGTCTCCCTTTTTTGGTTGTCAGAGCCTCACTGATCCACAGCTGACCTGCCAGACTTCCAATGTCCTTCCTGTCCAGCCTGGGAGGGATTATACATACTCAGTCACTGCTTACCATCCATGACCTTGGCATAGGCCCAGACTGCTGTGGTGGGGGTTTGCCTTCATGCTCTGTCCCATCTCATTCATTCTGGTCCCTATCAATTCTGGCCAAAGTTCAATCACGTCAGCATCCTACTCAGGAGTCCAGCTGCCCAGGTGCTGCCTTTATGTGATGACTAGATTTGTGTCCTTTCTACTGTGTTTCCTATGAGCAGATACACTCGTTTGCATAACTTTGCACACCACATATGTGTGACACATAGCAGGGTCTCGTGGGAGATGAAGGAAACTCCTTGGCTAGGTGAGCAGCCCTTTTGGACAGTTCTTCTGTGTCCCTTTGGGTCTGCTCCTCCACACCTTCTGGTCATATGCTGTGTTGTCCATAGCTGTCCTTGCTTTCTTTTCTTTCTCTCTGACTCAGGCCTGGGTGTGGCAACTACTCACCCTTGCTTGGTGCTACTAGATATCATTACCCTGGGTGTTAGAATAGTCTTTCCCAGCGTTGTCTTTGACAAGGAGCCTGTGAAGGCAAGTCTCTGCTGAACATATCTCCACATTCCCTGGGGACAGTGTAGAGCCTGGGCTCTAGTTACAAGTGCAGGGATGTGAGTTACACAATCACAAAATAAGCTCAATCTTGGTTCTTGCCACAGGACCTGAGGCCTTGGTGTGGCACAGACCCTGTTGTGCCTTGGTAAAGAAGTCTGGGATACCATTTGGGGTGGGTGATTCTTAAGATCAGAGTGGAGGGTGTTAAAAGAGTTGCTCAGCTGAGCTGTCCACTTGTACCTGGAGCCTTGGCCCAGCATCACTAGGAGGATGCTTGATTAGAGTGATGAATTCAAGAAAGGTTGCAATTGGATTTGTATGTGAGGCTAGCCCACGGCACAGTTAAGCTACAGGAGAGCAGAGAGAGTCTCATCTTCCAGTAGACAGGAATATTTTGGGTTTCTTGTCCACTCACTGGTAGTGATATCCCCCAGGATCAGAGGCCACAAAAACTGACAAAAGGCCACAGGCATGGATGGGAAACCCACAGGGAAATGTGATAATGAGGGCTTTTTTTTTTCTTTTTTTTTCCTGAAAAGATCTTAAAAAAACATCAGTGGTGTCAGGAATGGAAGCAAATACTGCTAAAAGGTAATGGCACAGTCACCCAGAGCCAACCATGGAGGGCTCATTCTCTGGAGTGACTCTCCCTCTAAGATACCAACAATGGTCACACTTCACAAGTGGGCTCCTGTAGATGTGCCATAGACGTGTCTCAGATGGACAGCATGGAGGGTCTCTTTATCAAATCTTTAGGATGCAGAACACTAGCCTTTCAGACCACAAGCCTCTCTGGGAGATAAGCAGGACTCAGTGAAGGCTCCTTCCACAGAACAAGGGTAAACACACGGAGTTCTTCCCCTTCGCTTTGCATACCTGTGTCCCACAGCTGTTGTGGGGACCACTGCTCCACTCTTCAATAAATTATACAACAGTCTCTTGTTAATTCCCTCTTCTACAAAAATTACAAGCACTGCTGGTTTAGTTCTCTTCTTTGATTGATTAAACCTTTTGTCTTCTTAGGTGACATTCTAGGTGCTGGGGCAACTGCTGATGGCAATGTTAACTTTGGGGAGTCAGGCCGTGAACACTTGTACTTGGATGGCATTAGTAGAGAGTTTTCCATCTATGACCCCGAGGGTAGTAAAATACAGCTGTTCAACCCCATCAAGGACTCTGTTACAAAAAGACAAGTTTCCCTCTTGGATTGTCTTCTCGACATATGGAATCAATCGAAAACTCCATCACTAATCAGTTGAATCTTTGTTAGCAGGTGAAGCCTGTGACTCCAAAGGTTTGAGTCTTTCAGAAATAATGGCTTCGTCCACATAGCATCTTCAGTACTGGTGTAAAAACACGAGCCCCACCAGACTCTTCAAACAACTTTCTTTGTCCTGCTAACTCTAACGCCTCTGTTCCTTAACAAATTTAATTGTTATCAAATCCTAGTTTTACTATATGATTATAAGACAAGAGGAGCAGTCTCCTCTTTATAGACTTTTAAAATTAAAATCTTTTAAAATTAAAAACCCATTATTTTTTGGAAGATTCATCTAGATATTCAAACATTTAAAAAATAGCTCTCATAAGCTGGGTTCTGTGTAAGAAGAATAAAAATATAAAATACAGATCATAAAAATATCAGGTACAAGCCAGGCAGTGGTGGCGCATGTCTTTAATCCCAGCATTTGGGAGGCAGAGCCAGGAGGATCTCTGTGAGTTCAAGGCTAGCCTGGTCTACAGAGAGAGTTCCAGGACAGGCTCCAAAGCTACACAGAGAAACCGTCTCAAAAAACAAAAACAAATCAAAACAAAATGAAACAAAAATACCAGGTACAGGTGGGAAGCAGATGAAGGTATAGACCATATAAGAATGGGAGAACATTCTGTCCATAGCAACGCTATTTGTATGGGTTGTGGGGGAGAGGGCAGTGCTTCTGTGTGTGTGAAGGTATAGAAGGTTGACATCAGACATCCCCTCAATGACTCCTCTATTTATTTATTTATTTATTTATATTTATTTATTTATTCATTTATTTATTTATTTATTTATTTTGGTTTTTCGAGACAGGGTTTCTCTGTGTAGTTTTGGTGCCTGTCCTGGATCTCACTCTGTAGACTAAGCTGGCCTTGAACTCACAGAGATCTGCCTGGCTCTGCCTCCCAAGTGCTGTGATTAAAGGTGTGTGTCACCACTGTCTGGCTCCTTGCTTTATTTTTAAAGTAGCTTTAAAATTAAAAAAAAATGTATTTGTGTATATGTGCAGGAGAAGTGAGTATGTGCAAAAGTGTGTGCAGGTCAGTGGACAACCTGTGGGAGTTGTTTCTCTCCTTCTAGTATGTGGGTCCTGGGGACTGAAACCAGATAATCAGCCTTGGTGGCAAATGCCTTTACCTGCTTAGCCATCTTGCTGGCCCCTCTCCACCTTACTTTCTGAGATACTGTCTCTTATCAAACCTGTAGCTTGCTGTTTCAACTACACTGGCTGGCCAGCAAGCTCTGAGGTCCTGCTGTATCTCCTCTCAGCCCTGGGATGACAGGGATATAGTCAGGCCCCATTTTTATGTAGGTGCTGGGAACCCAAACTC